AGACTTATACACTATAAATCTTATAATAAATTATAATAAACTAAGGAGCCCTTCTGTAAAAAGCAGATTAGGTTTACTTGAAGATTCTGGATGGAAGTATGGATTGAATCTACTATTTAATGATTACTGCCACGAGAAAATTGATAAAAGCGCTTTATTTCTAGTACCTGAACATGCTGTAGACTGGCTTTCTGCAGAATATGAGTCCGTTGTTAATCGGTAAATACATCATTCTTAAAGTAAGTTTGTTATTGAGTCACTGTTTGCAATTAGGAAACTTTGCTAGAAGATTGAATCTTTCCTTCAATGATTACTGCCATGAGATGAGTGATAAAAGTGTTTTAGTGCAAATAAATGCACAATGTGGATTAAATATGCCAGAGATTTACTTCCTTGACGTTTTTTGCAAGTTACAGAGCTTTTTTTTAGAGAGTAACTGAAATTTATAAAGAGCCTTTCTTTAAGAAACAGCTTAGACTATATTAAGAGCAGTGGTGGCTAAGACGAAAGCACTGCCGCAAGGTAAGTTCAAATTTTCGGTTCAACGATTACTGCCAGAAGAAGAAAGTTATCCATTTCTAGTTCCTGCATAATGTAGATTAAATATACCAGACTCTACTATCTAGACAAACTTAGATAGCTATTGAGACATTCTTTAAAATGCAGCTGTGGCTTTCTTATAGAATCCGGATGATTTCAGACCCTCACGTTTTATATGACTGCACAATAGATCGATAGCTCTACGAGTACTTAAAAAACGCAATTTAATCTAAGCTTTTTAATATTACCAGACTATAGAAAAAGTAATGTTAACTAACATAGTGTGAGACATGTCCAAGAGTATTTGGATTTTTCAGTATTAGCTGAACTAAAATATTCCGTTATTGCTAATGCATTTATCCGTTCGTCTACTGTTGAATATTCTATTTTTAACAATCCTGTAAGGATACTTGATTTACTGAAATTCTTCCAGTATTTAAGATTAATGTTTGTAATTAAAATGTGAATGCTAAGCACTTGTTGTTATTTAATTTAATTAATTTGTAGTCTTATTTGAGTGAATAGTAACTTAGATACAAATTATTTAAAGTAATTGCCTTTTCATATTTATTTCTTCAAGCCCACAAAAATGTAATGATTTCAGCTTCACAATTTAAAAGGTGGAGAAATTTATAAACCAAATAGATTTAAAAGAGATTTTTTGTAAAAAAATTTTTTAAATATAAAGTTTTACTCAAAAAAGAATATTTAAAATTTTCTTCGTGTTCATAAAAAAACAACACACTTGAATTATTGAATGGAAAAATTCGTTGAAAAACCATACAGTCATAGATACTTTAAAATTTAATAAAAAAAAAATATTACATCAATCATATATCAGACATATTGAGCATTTATGACATCATAGAACATTTAATATTATTTTTTTTTTTTGTATTTTTCATAATCATTTTTCATAAAATAGAATTTCTCAGAAATTTTTTACTTTATTTGCTTTTTATTAATTCTTGACCTGTTGAACTTTTTTTAAATGTACTTTCCATTAAAAGGCATTTTATTTTATTTATTTTTGATTTTTCATCAAAAAATAAAATATAAAGTTTGTATTGAAAATTTCATTAAATAAAAAATTGGATCACACATGACTTACCTCGAAATTTCCGCCGAGATTTGGGCCAGCTTGTCCCACATACAAAGTGGATGCGGAGTCGAAAACAAGCTCCATGGGCTCCTTAGAAATTAATGTGGTTTCGGTCTCTTTACAATTGTGATAAAAGACGACTTTATCGCTTAGCACTTGAAAGGCGATGTTCGACCAGGTTTTGCCCTTGTAGGGTAGATGGTAGCTGACTAGTTTCCGTATCGTATTACTCTCGGATTGTGTGTACAGCAGCGACACATTCCACATGCCTTTTATCGCAGGTGATAAATGTAAGCCCAACTGCACAACCGTATCCAATGGATTCACCACACTGAATAGATAACCGCCCTTGGGTGAATTCGGGCTAAACGACGCCATAATTGCAAATTCATACAACTTCTCTGGCAGGAACAAGCGATACGGCGACTTGACATCAGCGATGGGTAGGAATTTATACGCTGGAAAGCCGTCTTCTGCATAATCAAATTCAATGCCTTCGAATTGATTGTTGTTCATGATATCGAGAATTGTGTACTCGACTAGGGCATCTGTGAAAATATTACACAAAAATTATTAAAATAGAAAAAAAACAACACAATATTTGAAAATAGAAAATATAATTTAAAATTTGATTTCATTATTTTATGAAATATTTCTTGCAACAATTTAAATAATATTTGTAAATTGAAAAATATTTTTTTTCTTTACTTTTTGATTCAAATGAAATTCATTTTTCTATTTATTAAATTGTTATCTGGTTATGTTTCTGATTACTCGAGCAGATCTATTTAACAAAGGATTTCAGTGAATGTAGTTTTTTTAAACAACTTCTGTGAATATTACTTAATTTTAAAATACTGGTATTTAGAGTTGAAGACTTTTCATAAAACCCACTAAAAAAGTAGACCTGCCTGCTTCAAAGCATCCGCATACTCCGCAAGATAAGATGAAATCCTTCCTTTAATGATTACAGCCATAAGAACAACGATAAAAGTGGTTTATTTCCGAATGCTTGTCCAATGTAGATTAAATATGTAAGAGACTTAGTTCCCCGACTGGTGTAATGTAGATCACCACTGCGTGGAGAACTCTGCCATATATTCTATTCCGCATACGTGCTGTCCTTTTCATAGATAATAGCATCTTCTAGCAACGACCGTTTCGACCCCGGTCATCAAATTCATCAACCATCCTAATTGATTGCCTTGAACTGTACAGGCTTCTGTCTTCTGGCGCCCCGGTAGTACTGAATTGATACTCATTTGTGAACCACTCCAGGCTAAGTCTGTAACTGCCTCCGACTCGTTAAAACCCTGGCAGGAATCATGGTACATTTTGCATCCGTCATCATTAAATTGGTCTTATAGGTTCAGTTGAATTTAACAAATCGGCCTCGAAGCTTTAAGATCTTTAAGATCTTAACTGAACTCTAATCCTAACTTTAAAGTATTGGAAATTATATGAAAAGAATTATAAATATATTTCAAAACCTGTCAAAATGAGTTCGGATTTATCATTAATTGCTGAACTAAAACAACCTATTTTTGTAAATCCATTCGTCCGTTCTCCTTTTATAGATATTATAGGCCCGTTGCTGCCTATTGTTTCCTTTTTCTTGTGTTTTAAACCTAGAGTTAGTATTAAATTCACTTTTAATGTCTTATGAAGTTAATTACTCGGTAAGTTCATCGGTTAATACATCGGTTAATTTTGTTGATATTGACTAGACCAAATTGCTTTTTTATGATATCAGACTTTGAAGTCTAGCATATCTGTCATTGGTGACAAAAAATGCTGATAGTTCTTAATAGATCTAGCATATTTGATACTGGTGGCAAAAAATGCTAATGGTCCTTATTGAGCTAAGCTCATTATTCTAATGAGTTTCACAGTATCGAAATCCGTAATATATTTTGTAATGCTCTCTACTTTTATATCCTCATGAATGCTCGAATTTCTTACATACCATAGGAACTTCAATAGTCTTCTTAGGACTATACATATTATATAAATGAAGTTTATTTTTACTTCTCAAAAGTAGCAATTTAAGAAACATCCTAATCCTAACAGATAGTTTGATAAATAATATGGAGATACATAAAAATTCTATAAAATATATTTAATTAATAGAATTATGTTTTTAGAAGCTAAGTATTAGAGTTGATTTGGTGCTTAAACATTGAACGAAATCAGTCTCCTAACTGATGCCTCTATTATACGAACACGTTTATTATTCGAACGCCTCTCGTAGGTACGTAATTATTTTAAGTTCAGTAATTTATATTTTTATTACTTGGAACAACTTGACCCAATTTGAGCAGACACCACTCTTGAAAACCTGATTGACCAAGAGTTTTGATTCTAATAATATGCAAATAAATTGATTTCTTTTAATCTAACATATAATCGAGTTGCACTATAATTTAAAAATATTATAATTTAGTTAGTAATTCAGTTTATTGTTAATAATTAAAATAATAATAGTAATTGTCTTATTAAATAAATAAATCACTAAATACGATGGAGCACAGAACTGCTATAAATTTACCTAAAAGCATGCAATCAAATTTTTTTGCATAGATCGGCCTTTTGTTTACAGCTTTATAGTATGCAAATAAATTTTTGTTTTTTAATGAGTTACAGTAGTGGCTACGAAAATGATACTTTTTGTATCTTCTTCGAAATCTTCTAAAACTAAATAGCCTAGATAGAATAACGAACCTTGCATTATGGAGCTAAAATACATTTATTTTTAAAGATTTTAGACAGAACGTTATATGTATTTTAATTGCATATTATTGCTATCAACATTATTTGTTTATAAATACTTGTTTTTTTTTCGGCTTAGATTGGTTTTGTTTAAAATTACTTCATATATTTTTATAATAAAAACAAATACAAATAAAAATATTGAATAAATTTGTAAATTTCAAACAAAAGTAATAGCTTTTTTATTTAAAACAGATATCGGTTTTTTCGAAAATTATTTTAATAACACTGAATCTGGTTTACGAAGTAGTCTGAAATATTTATTTTAATAAAACTATTATTTTTGTTTTGAAATAACCAATAAATAATTTGTCATTAAATTATTTAAAATTAAATAACCAACTAAGCTGGAAAACCTAAAAAAAAACAAAACCTGTTAAGTATTATAACATATATAATTATTTTATATATTTAATATGTTAAATACAATAATTATATTAAAATATATGTAATTTAATATATATATGTATTTTAACATATTTATATATCTTAATATATTTTATATATTTTAATACATTTATACATTTTTACCGTATTCATACATATACAGTTAGATGTTCACAAAAATTTTGTATATATATAATATAATATATATAATTATTTATTCTGTCATTTTTTATTTTGTTTATTTTTTTTTATGCATAATAATTTATTTAAATTTTATAATTACTGTTTTAATGACCAAGAATTTTATTAATAGTTTTTAAATTATTTTATTATTTTAAAATAATAATTATTATTATAATTAACAATTTTTTAAAATATTAGTTTTTAAATAATTTTCTGTTTACACCAATATTTTGACTATATTCTATAGTAATCGTCAGGGTACTATTACAATGTTTTTATAATGTGGAAATAACTACATTTCTATTTTTTATTTTTAGAAATATTGGCTATAAACTCACGTCAAAAACGATTGGTTTTTTTGAATATATTTATTGAATATAGCAAATACATATATTGAAATATAAAAAAATGCAGCGAATATAACTTATTGAATATAGGAATAAATAAATATAAGAATTAATTCAAAAAATATCACCAATGACACGTATTTTCTAATAGTCAAAACAGCTGTATGATTAGCCAAATGTTCAATTAATTAAAAATAATAAAATTTTGTTGTTGCGATTTACTATTGTTCCAAAAACCTCTCTATTGAAAACAATAGATTATTTTAAAAAAATAGAAACAGAAATGTTATAACTGATTATAAAAATCAAATATAATTGTATTTTCAAATATTATTTTATATTATAAAATAATTTAAAAAATTAAAATAAAAATAAAATTGTTTTATATATATTTTAAAATTCGGCTTAATTAAACGTTTGTTTAATATTTTTTATATATTTTGTTGTCGACTTCCAGATCCTGATGATGACTCTCAAGAAGAGTCGAAATATAGAATATGTTAAAAAATATTAAGTGTTTAATTTTAATAAAGAGGTGATCTGTAGCCAAATATAAAATATTTAAAAGAACATAATTAATAATAAATTCAAAATTTTAATAGAAATAAAATTATTAACAAAATAAAAAATTAAATATATAAATATTAAATGTAACATCGAGATCATAGTCTCTAATTATTTTAAGGGAAGCATTTTTAACGTAAAAATATTATGCAATATAGTGTATAAAATGTTATATTATATTATAAATATTGTGAAATATGTTGTGAATAATAAAATATTAAATTATAAAATATTTTAAAAATATTTTAAAATGTTGAATACCGCTTCGAGATCACAATCTCTACTTATTTCAGTTAAGCATTTGGGACCAAAATATAAGTATATTTTGTTATTTGTATAATAAAATATTATATTATATTATAAAATATTATTTTATATTTTAAAGTATTATATTATACCATCCGTAATTATTTTTAGGAGAACTTTTTCTGACCCAAATATTATTCATAAATTAAAGTTTATAAGTTTTACATAAAACTACTTCCTTCATAAATAAATTTAATAACAGATTAAATTATTGAAAATTGGTTGTCTACTCCAATCTTTATAAATTTAATTTTAATAATTAATATTAATTTATTACCTTTAATAGATTGTCCTGAGAGCTGAATTGATTGGAATTTTGCCATTGAAATTGTAGTCAGAAACAACAACAATATTTTGCGCCATGAACTGAAATGATAAAGATGACAATTTAGCATGAATATTAATAAAGAATGAGAATGCAAATTGGATTTGAATAAATATAAATTAATTGAATACAATGAATCACTTGTAATTAGTTTACGTACACAATTTAATAGAAAACAATTTGTAAATGATTGACTGCCCCAAACGAAGAAATGACAACCCCAAACGAGGAATACCGAGTACATCACCGCAATGCAAGGGTGAATGGTGACCGAATGTCTGGTCTGGTGCTACATGAAACCTACTAATTGCACCACACTTGCAGTTTATTTATTAACCACAAATATCGGTCGAACTTAAGCACAAGACTATGAAAATAATTGCCTTTGTATCTGAGTATCTCTCGACATGAAGTCACAGTTACGTGTGCGGTTGAGTTAAATGATATGCAAATGCAAGTGATTGTATCGGACTGAAGACCTGAAACGGAAGCCACGTGCTTTTGCTCATGGAATTCAATTCGAAATAAATTTATTGAATTGATGTAAGTGGGTTATAAACAAATGTAATTAATTTATTCGCCATATTAAATTAAAATTTATATTTGTCTCAAAAAATATTAAAACTAATACATCAAATGAGAAAAAAAGGGCTGGTAAAAACGCATCATCAATCCACAAAATCAAAGCCTGAGGAAGTTAGGTTTATGGTTGACGGAAAGTAAGCAAATAAATACGAAGCCCATAAAATATACAAAAACAAAAATATACAAAGTTTGTTTTCACTTTCAAGTACGTTAAACCACAAATAGGCTTAACCCATGTACGGCTTTAAGGCGCAGAGACCACAAAGTACTCTGTCGTATTGTGGTCAGTCGATGATTTTGTTAACTTTCAATATTTGCTGCCACATTTTTAATGAACAAATTTTATTTGATGTGAGTTTTTGTTGATAATTGTGGTTTGTTTCTCAAACGATACACTAAACCCAAAACAATATTTAAAGGAGTGGAACCCTTTTAAATCCTATAGGACGTCGAAGACTCTTGTCTGTGTCCAATTTTTTAATTTGTCAAATCAATGGAAGTTTTGAGGAAATTTGAAATCCATTAGCAAACCCTTTTGCAGCGAATAAATTGGTTCAGATTTCAATTTCAGTTTTCGTGTTATCGCGCACAGTTCATTAGTGCATTCCATGTTGGAGTCGTGCAACATGCAATGCTGAGCTGCAGTGATTTTGCTTCGGCATTGGTGCCATCGCATGACGATGACATAAATTCAAAATCCCAAAGGTTGTAATTGGGCGAAAGTGGTAAAGAAGCGCGCACTTGTTGCAAATGATAATAGGAGAAGCGGAACAGTAATGATAATCCCCGATGAGTTGCAGTTAAATGCGGTCGGAATAGTAGTGTGTGGAATCATGTGGTTTATTGAGTTGATTTCAAATAAGTACACTTAAAGCGAATAGATTTTGTTTAGAGGCTCGGTAATATTTTGATTATTTTGACAGAACTATAGTAAGAAATTCTTAATAAAGAAAGAATTAAGATATGGAAAATCTATGATAGATTATATATACATGGAATTGTTAATAGCAATAAGATCCACTACTTATATATATATGGATTATTCTTTAACAAAGGCTATAGCTTTTGAGCACATCGTCTCGATTTAACTGAAAAATTGAGTTTCAATATAATGTTTTAATAATAAAATAAAAAGACCAAAATTTCCGAAGAGAAATGTTCAAAATTTCTTCAAGGAGATACTGAACCATTGGGTCGTGAGAGTTTGCATTTTAGAGTAATTTTTAAGTCCCCATATCTTAGGTTTTGTAAATGGTAGATATTTAAGGTTAACTGTTCTTTTAAAAATATTGATTTAAAAGTTTGTAAAAAGTTTAGACAACTGAAATTGTTTATATTTATTTACTAATATTTACTCATTATTAAAAAATATAAATTTTGTATAAATTACACATAAAAAACGTTTATTTTTTATAATTGATTTTTATTTATTATTTAAAAATCTAAATTTTCAGTACTTAATATTCTAGTAAGTGCATCGTGGTTTAGGCTGAGATATACCCAATCAAAATAGCAGCATCATTATCTTTGTAAACAGTTCTAAAGGAAATTTAGTCTCAGGTACTGGAATCAAGAATTGTAATGAAATGTCCTACTTAAATCAGCCAAGCTTACAGAAACTATTACAATTCGTCCTGACCGTCTTTGTAGACAAACAGACAGATGTAAAAGCAATGGAAACACAGACAGTGAACTCGAGGATTGCAATAAAATATCGTATCTCATTGATGAAACTCGAACATCACAAGAACACTTATTGTTAGGTTTCTTGATATAAGAATATTGGATTATTGAAGAGAACTAGATAACACACGAGTTAACCAGTAGTGTTCCTAACTGAAGCCGACTTATCGATACATACACCGATGTGCAAACTGTTGGAAAGCATAAAAAAATTCACTACCGGACTGATAAATGACTTATGGACTAATTGCTAAAACTATGAGATTTTTAAGGTCTTATAGGCTAGAGAG